ATGTTCAGGCAACTTGATTTTTATTGACGATGTCATAGGGCTTAGTGTAATCCTGTTATCGGAACCAGATTTTGAATCTTTTAGTTATTTCAAATTGCTAGAACTGCTTTTCTACCAGAAGAGCCATGTAATAGGACAACACATTTAGATAATTTTTCATTGCAATGTGATTAGAATCATGATTTTGATATACTGCTAACTGTCAAAAGTTTTCTTAAGGAATTAAACGACTCATCCTGAGATTGCGGGTGTTATTTATTTCTTATGATTTGTCATGTATTCTAAGCCTACATAGCTACTCATTAACAGTTCAGACGTTAGCTTACTGTAGTAAACCTAGGTTACCTATTACTATCCCTTGGTTTTCGTCTATCTCATCCATGACAGATTTTAGTGATATTTTGCACCATAGCCATTCATTCGCAATTAATATGGCATAATTGCCTATCAGCATAAACAGCTACCAGGGTTATTACTATTCATAGAAGAGGAGCTTTTCTGTGACTATTTGGAATACTTAAAGTATCAGCAAGTCAGAAAAACTAGAGCTAATTCAAGGGTTCAGTCATCTAATGATGCCGAGTTGTTTTCAACCAATGGTATATCATTGTATATTTCTTTATCGTCTTTCGCAAATTTTAACCATCTAACGAGATCAAGTGATCTAGGAAAGTAGATTTGTGACCCGTAAATACAGTATGTCGACATCTGGATGGTGAGTCCTATCCAACTTTGATCTGGGGTGCCAATTTTTGTCTTCTGGCTTCACTTCAAATGTATTTGTTATTTTATGTGATTGCTTTCAGTGAGGGTTCAGTTTTTCGAATTTTAGATAATACGTTCCTGGAATACAAGTGTAAAACCCATCTGGTTTCAATATCCATAATATGAGTGTTTCGTGTAGTTGTATACTTTTCAACAACATGTCTATGTAAATATGAACCGTAGCTACATGGAGCATCCAGTTTCTGTGACTCAGTACCTGTAATTTTCAAATCTTACTGTGGCCTGAGAATAATCATGATACATTTATGGTTCAAAACATAAGCATAACGTAGAATTGTTGTTTGGTGTTTGTAATAAAATTATTTTGCATGTTGCAACTCATTGCAAGCAAGCCCTTCCGACAGATATTGTAATGTCAGTTGGAGATTTGAATGCTCCGACCGGGCATCTAGGAACAAAGAAGAGTCGCTTAAGTGTCTAATAAGGACTTATTGGCCACAGGTCAAATTGCGATGACTGTCTCCTGAAACTTTGCACAGCCTACGTGTTTCTAGTCTTAAATAATTTTCGACAGTCATCGCTATTAGGTACTTGCCCTCTGTAAGTCAAGCCTGGATCCACTGATCAAATCACAATCGACTATTCTTAGTGTGTTCTCACACAAGGCTGCTGCTCCTTTAAGAGTACTTATCTAGACTTATCATTGGTTCGGTTTGCTTCAATCTTACTTTACACTTCAGCGGTCAACAAATTCGTCGTCCTAAAAAGTTTGATGTAAGTAAATTGGTTGCACTTTCTGTTACACTCAGATGTCAAGCAGTTTTTGTGTTCAAGATAAGCGACCGATCCCTCGGAAAGTATATATAAGAATTGGCTAAGTTTGCATAATGCTATAAAAATGACGGATCACATCTGGTGGTATGGCGAAACATCCTGCATATAAGCTCTGGGTTTCTTCAGGATCCTTACAATTCCTTGATGTGTACCAGTCAACTCTGGCGAATCAAACATTTAGCGATATATAAAGATTCTTACTTTAGGAAATTTCCTAAGGTTTACCTGAGGAAAGCTGGTGGTCTCAGAGCGCTACCGAAATAGGGATAGCTGGATTAAATGGTAACTGCCGGAAGCTATTTCAACTCATCTGAGCCACGGGTGGCAAAAACGCCTGATGGATAAGTGAGACAATTTGTGAAATCAGTGGTACGCTAAGCAATAGCACTCAACGATGTCGTGAACAAAAAGCGGAGCATTTCAGTCTCTGTTGTCTCAGAGGCATCAGGTTGAATGCCTTGTCCTTTTCGGTTCGTGGTCACCGACCTACTAATAAAAACGAAGGTTCTCAAGAAACCCCAACTTGCAGAGTATGTCAGTTCACCAGGTCCAGATGACCTCTCCGTAGTCTTCTGAAGGATAGTGGAAAACTAGGTAAAGAACCAATTGAGTTGTTTGAGAAAGTGAATGTGTTAAAATTTCTCGGGATGAGGCAATCATCATCCTCATCTTTAAAAAGAGCTTACGCCATCAATGCAATAACTATCGTGGATAAGTATAGTTCTGGTTGGATCTAAACTATTGACTTTCGTCATAATTTACAGATAGTTAAAAACCCACAGGACTGTCTCGCTAGGCGTGTTTTGATTTCCGACCAGTCCGCATATTTATTAGTCACATCTTCACCCTCTAATAAATATCAAACCACCACTATACTTATCACAGACCAGCAATTGTTGTGTTTCTTGATATCGGGGCCTCTTTTGATTCATGAGTCATAAACACATAAATATTGGTACATAGGGTGAGGATTATCTGTTGAAGAAGAGTGTGTCTGTGTTTATTAACATATTAACAAGACTCTATTTGGAAACGCCCCAAGCAGAACGAGAGCATACAACCATGTCTTTCTATTGCTTACCATAGGAATGGGTTTAAACAAGGCTCCCCAACATTACCATTCATCACATTTGCCATCGTTGACATTCTGGGAAGAGCTCAGATACAAGTATGTAGTTCATTTATCATTATTACTTATTTAAACATAAAAATTGGTATGAGGAACCAAGTAGATATGAACCACATACTGGCATACTGTCCGGGTGCCCAAACCGAAGCAGGTGGTTTCTTTAGGGCGCCACACCCCGAGCCTTTGACCTAAAGGTCTAATTCACAAGACAGTGGAGCGACGTAAGGAGTTGCAGTCCCATGGTAGCCGGTGATTAATAATTGGTTCACATGCCTTTTGTTCCTTCAGGATACTGGAGCCCATGTTCACCATCGGTTTGGAATCAGGGTTTCCAAACTCCCCTAGATGGACTTTCCGTGTCCACCAACTCGGTTAAAGCGCCGGACATTCACTTTTTGTCCTTTCAATTTAGTAAACAACAGTAATTTGGCGATAATGCAGTGAGTAGGACTTCCCTGGCAGTGAGTGTATGCACGTGGTTATGTGAGAGAATTTCGGGAGGGAGAGTTGACTCCCTACTCTCGGCCGTACCAGGGCATTTGGGGGCAAGTATGTAGTGAGAGATGTAAAGTCGTTACCCCGAGAAAGACCTTGATCTTGAGTATGCGGATGTACTTACTTTATTTATTTATTTGAACACAAACATTAGTACAAAGAGGCACCGAATACATATGCACCACATAATAAAAATGAGGTTGTGAATAGATAGAGAATGGAGAGTGAGTATAAAGAAGAGAAACAGTGGACATAACTTAGTGTATGAGAGCGAAATAGCATAATAACAATGGGAGAAGCAGTTTAGTTAGGAAAAGTGCAACCAGAAAGAATTGTTTTAGTCAGAGAATTTACGTCCACTATTGTGAAGAAAGTAAAATAAAGTTATAACGGATCGCCAATTGCAACATCATGTTAGTAATACTGACGTTCGTCAATGTGTGTTTGGGCACAATTGCGATTCGGTTAGTACCTTCACTTCATATTCAGTGGCTTAAACATGTCCTAAAAATGTCATCAAAAGGGTTCTCATTTTATTTGCTGACTCTGGAACTGGTTAAGAAAGCAAATGTGGTCAGCTTATGACAAGGGGCAGTATAGAATTAGCTCTTAGCGACCCATCAAGGCTTTGTGGTTGCGATCCTAGAAATGGTGCAACGTAGTGGTTTGAAACATTATCAGACAGCTCAGAATAGATAAAAATAGCGATGTAGGTGTAGCTATCTTTTACGTTCTTCGCAAAACTGAGTAGAATCCCCTTAACTGAAAGAAACCCTATTTCGGTTGTACTGTTAACTGAAATTTACCTCACATTACATACTATTAGTGTCCACTTTATTTACTATATATCCTTCCTTTTTAAATACACTCCATCCCCCTCTTATTTTTCTCACAGCGTCATCTCTGTACTTCGCGTGAAGCATTTTGTTTGTATTACTTAGTTGTAACAGATTTTGTGTGCATTAGATAAGTAAATTTAGTCATTGCTGTATTAGGTACAATTCGCACTTACAGTCAATACACATGAGTCACTGTACTCGACAAAGTTGGTCTTCGTAGTCATATTAGTATTGAAAGTGCTTACTGTAGTTCCTGATTATGAATGGATGGGAGATTCTTCTAATACGAATTGGGGTCTACGAGAATTGAATAGACCCGAAAACCAATGCGTAATACTTCAATGATTATTCCGCGCATGATGGTTTACAAAGAAATCTTTTACAAATAGTTTATAGACAAAGACCCCAGAGGAATTGAATTACATTCACTTATATATATTTGATTTAATAATTACAAAATTTATTAACCTAAGCAATCGTCACTTGAACACAAACTCACTGTGCATTGAAAATAAAGCAAGTTAATTTCATACTAAACAAATCGATAGGACTGTAATACATTTTAAGTCAGTTAACGGAGTACATTTCAAATCAATTCGTAAATTGTAGAATTGATTTGTTCTTAAATGCAGTATATAGAACTCAACATCCCCAAATACTAGTTTTAGTCTATGTACTTGGTATCGTCAAATATAGCATTCCTCAAATCCATTTGGATTAAAAGTGTAATATCACAATTTGTTTATATGAAACTGATTTTTCTAAATAAATAAATAAATAGATTCTAGACCTTTATGAGAGATTTAACGTTGTACTGTGCTTTACTTCTCCCCCTTTATATTTTTCTAGACATTTGTTCCACCTGTTTGTCTGTCAAAATAAAACCGTTGACGTTTATTCATCAACAACCAATGCTTGTTAAATATTTAGTTGGCTTAATAATTCCAGCCTAAATGTTCACAGTCATTTGGTAAATCATGCATCGAGTTTCGGATGTTCCGGTCATTCTGTTTAATCCATACTTAACGTGTAATCTTTGCCGAGGCTATTTAATCGATGCCACGACAATTGTTGAGTGTCTACACTCTTTCTGCCGCAGCTGTATCTTGACTTATCTCAAACTGAACACAACGTGCCCGGTTTGTGCGACACTTTTGCACAAAACCAAACCACATTGCGCAATTCGGCCTGATCGTGCACTACAGTCCATCGTTTACAAGCTTATACCGAATTTATTTGAAAAGGAAATGCTATGTAGAAGAAAATTTTATGAGGGTGAGTATTTATGTAGTAAATTTTTGCTGAATTTTAAGCAAATTTCGACGTTTCGACTTTGTTGATTGGACGTTTGACCTTATAGTGTGTTACCCTATGTATTGTTGGGTATACTTTGGTGCATCATAATTTCTGAGATTGGTTGGGGGTTTTTCCTACATACAAGTGGGGTAGAGTCGTAAAATGATGGAAATAGGAAAAACCTTTTCAAAAAACCCACGTCTTGTATTAATCAATATTTTTATGTTTCTTATTGACAAAGTCCAGGTGTAAATGAATAGAATTACATAATTATAAACTTACTGTGTTATATATTTTAAGAAAATATTTGTTAGACAATGTGATAGCGCAACACTGATCCGATTCCTAATTCATTAATTTCAACACATCATTTTTCATGGCCTGGAAAAATAGTTCAGTCAGTCAGACACAATCAAACTAAAGCCTAGGACAAATGAGCTTCGGTCAACGTGAGATGAAATTAACAGGCTAAGTCGACAGTCCCAATTAACGGAAGAACTCAAAAAAATTCAAGCTCAACAGTTAAGTCAGACTCAGTTAACTAGTAAGTTTTATGGGAGTGTTTGGTTTCTTTAGAAACGTCAACCAAGTGTCTCATGTTACTAAGACCTCTCAATCCTAACACAAGTGTATACTGACGGCAACCTGGGTTTTCAATTTGGATCATTTCCTTTTAGCATCATTATTCGTTTACACACTGAAGTGATTTCTACGTTATTCTACTGTTTAGACGTCGTGAACTTGTGGATCCCAATGGTTTGTACCAAACATAACATAGGCGTAAATTTTGACAAAATAGTCCCCCAAATATTAAAAATCCAGAAGTATCTGGCATGTATTTACACCAGTCAGATGTAAGGTAATGCCAAAAAACAAGTCGATTGTGTGGTTGGATGTGCTGGCCAGTTGATTTATCCATTAAGTTTAATTGACCGGTACACTAGTATTCGTAAAATTACGTCGCTAGTGTGTCATCCAAATTTATCTGAGTGTACTGTTTGAATGTTTCTTCTGACGAGCTCTACTGTCGTAGACATGAAACTACAAAGTGAGAGTAAATGGATTCGTTCAAAGTTACCTTCAAGACGTTGGTTAAGTGTTAGAACTACAAAGGGAGGTATGTTGAAGTTGTAAGTCGTTGAAATGGGACCTAAGGTAGTATATTTTCAGATGGTGGAGATTTGTAGCTCAGGTGGATGATTTTGATGGAGTTTTGTTCTCTGAACTGGATGGTTTGGTGGTGGTTTAAAGTCAAGAAGAACCAATGAACATCGAGGTCTACAAGACAAGCTGTGAACCACATGTGGAGAAATTCGAACACTTCACTTCTACCTGAAGTTTGTGTTGGTGATATCGTTCAGAAGAACGATGAAAGATACACACCCAAACCATCCAGCTCCGAGAACAAAACTCCATCAAAATAAGGTAGTATATTTAGTAAACTGTCATGTTTAATGTTTGTGGATACTCTGTTCATTATTTTGACTCAGCATATTTTTCTGTTCAATTTTCTGTGGAAAGTAGGTTGAAAAGTTTCTAATACTATGCATACCAAGGACCACAGTGGCCAATCAATGTTAATCTAGGTTCTGAACTTACAATTAGAATTGAATCTATGTAGCTGCCTACCAGTCACGATACATACTGTGGCTAATTTACATCCGATTTCAGCTCTTAAATTATATATATATATATATATATATATATATATTCAGCACAGCTACTCAACTATTTTATGATCGATATGGATAACCTCAACTAAAACTATAAATTCAGGGGTTTAGTATCGAACGTTTTTCCATTTCAATTTCTGTGGGAATTCGATAATATATCGATCAATAAGGTCTTTTATATTTTCCGACACCTCAATGATTCATGTTCTGAATTATGTGGTGCTGGTCAATAGCGTTGGTCTATGTAATGTCATGTTTAACTTTATCTGTCATAACTTTAACTTTGCAGATCATCCTTCATGTTACACCCGATCTTTAAGTCCTGAAAAACGTGGTGATTTAACCCTGAATACTTATGTACTCCAAGAAGAAGATCGTTTAAGCGTTGAACTTCGGTACTGGAATCAAAACGAACATAAGAATAATGGTTGCTCAAGTAAAACTTCTAGTCAAACAGATTCAATTAGCCCGATATTGCCTGTTATCCCCCCTACATTTTTACTCTGTCCACCTGAACTTACAGTGGGACATATTGAAAAGCTGATTCGAATGAAGTTCAATCTTAAACCCAGTGAGCATGAGGTTTCTGTTTTCTTTTCAGTCGACGATCTTTTTAATTCTAACTATACACTATCAGATCTTGCCTGCTTGTATGCGTGGCGTCGCCAACAGCCTTTTAAATTATATTTTACAATAAAAGAAACATCGAGGCATGGATTTTCTGTGTTTATGGAATCGCAACCCCTTCAACATCGAGTAACCTAACTCATAGTATTCTGGAAAAATCTAAAATATGTCCTCAGAATAATAATTCATCTTGGTCTGTAAAATCCAAATTCAGAAATTTCCCACAAATTCCCTTCGTAAACGACATGTGAATAACTCTGATGATGAAATGGAGACTACTCCACTTGAAGTCTCTGCGCCAAACTCACAAATCTCGTCACAATCATCCTGTAAAATATCACTTCCAACACAGTTCATAAAATCTATAAGCTTATCATCTCCTATGCTCAATACTTCAAGTTCTGTTTGTTCTTCGCTAGCCTAAAATTTAACTTATGTCCTAATATTCCATAACTAGTCATTCGAATTTATACCTCTGATGTTGCTTTATACTTTTGACTCTGATTTTCTGGGTATATTATTGAAATTTTATTTATTCACATAGTTTTTTTGGTCATTGCTTTGTAAAGTCTCGTCAAAATCTGGAATAATATTCCAACTTTTGTCCTAGTTTTGTACTAGGGCTATTGTATATTTATCTTTCTTTATATCATTGTTAAGTTCAGGCCCTTTTTTTCTACTTCATACATAAAAAGATAATTAGTTTTCCGGTTTTTAAAACTTGATACTGTTCTAAAATAATTCCTTTAACGTTTCAGATTCTTTTTCTGGTTTTTTTTACTGTGGTGTTATACTATGTGCATTGTTGATCCATTTTCAGTGTGATACAAATTGTGCGGTCCATGTTCTTGGTTTGCTGAATTTATAAAGCTATATTGAAATAAATGTGGTGACCGTCTATTTAATGTCTCGTTTAATATAAAAAACGGCAATTTAGGGTTCCTAGTCAATTCCTGAGAGATATGCAACGTGTATTTTAAAAATAGGTTTCATTAAAACAAATATAACATTCTTACTCTTACAGTCAATAGTAACTGTCTTGCAATTTCTTAAATTGTTAGTTTTCTTTTAGTTTATCGTCAATGACATAAGCAGTGCTGCATGTTCCACCTTCTTTGACACCTATAGTTTGTAAACATTCAGAAAGATTACTTCCTTGTGACTGAAATACTGATTAATTTAATGCAATAACAGCAATTATCTACGCCGAATGTGCTGTACTGAAAGGTGGTTATTTGACATTGTATTTTCAAATGCTTGACTAAAGATTTTAAACTCAAATCCACGTCGCTTATAGTTTGAAAATACAGGTGATATTATCAGTCATACAAAATACTTTACTCAGAGCCTCTATGAATCTGAATAGTTGGTTGTATTATCCGGATTACTTATGATACCTGGTAGTGTTTAATCTTTCATAATTCTGGAACTGTATTGGTACATCTATGGAATAAGTGCTGCAGAAAGCCTGAAGAATTATTGCATTTATAATTTATGATATTCACTAGTACATCCGTGTATGGTTTGTTGAAAATATTTCGAGTTGGATATCTCCGTTGATCAATCCGATCACAAAGAAAAAGATTACCAGATGTAGTTGTCAAAAGATTTTCTTTAAAGTTTGAAATATTATAGACTTGAATAGCTGGTTGGATAATTTTATCTGTATGTTATATGCGCAATTCAAACAAGATGTTTAACGAAACATTAGGACGAGATAAGTTGAAAGTTATACCGTAGATGGAACCGACTAAAGACAAATACTGATGTTTTTTAACTACAGGGAAATATACTTGACCTGCAATGATCTTTGTTCCTAATGAAGGTATTAATTTCACAGAAATAAGCGAAATAATACACAAAAACAAGTCCTTGTACAATTCGCTTTCTTTTAATACACAATTTAAAATGCAGTCACTTTTGTCATAGCTTAAGTCGACTAACAGCATCTAACTTCAGCTGGACCGAATCTAATTCGTTCAACAGTTTGTTACTATCAAGGTATGTAAGCGTGCAAGTGAGTCATTCAAGTCTAGAATGAAATTATCCAAAATGTAGTCCTAGTGAACTCAATTTTTATGTAAACTTCAATAAATATAACACCATACTAGGTAAATTCTCTTCCATGTATGCACTTTAATTCTCTCAACAGTTGGACAGGTTTCTAATAGTAAATTGGTATGCGAGCCAGGTTTCTGATTCAATCAATAACAGGTCCAGTGTAAACTCAAACACAACAATTCATTGTGCTATAAATATGCGCGATCACTTAAAAAAACGGGGATATGTAATTGTGTTCCTCCTTTTAGCTTCTTACTGGAAGTTGTTAATGACTGATTTCCACAACGCTCTAGAAGGGATGTCGTGTTACTTTTGGAATGAAAAGTTTTCCATCCTAGTAATTATACGACTTCTGTTGACGCTATCTTCGAATTGAGCTCATACATACTTTTTACTTGTAAATTTTTATAATTAGTGAATTATCATACATATACAGGCATCAAGGCATGGTTTAAATAAGAGCATTTTCCAGGCAGTCTTAAATGGTCCTTTTCGTGGACCGTTAATGGTTATATAGTCTGTATACACGAGTAAGTTAGTGGTTATTGATGTCTTTTCATATGCTTGTAATTGGAACTACTCTTAGAACATCAAGAGAGACTAGGAAACAGACATCAGCTAGTATCTCGGCTCATTTTTTTATTATAGTACCAATTATTTAGATAGAGTAATACCCAGCTAGAATATAGACTGGAAGTACACTTTTTTAATTCGACTTCATCCCCGTGAGACTACAGGCAGATGTTATAGTGCCCAGATACCTGAAGGTAAGGTTGTGTGGATTCAGCGCATTAGGTAGATAAAGTCAACTGAATAACCATACTTTGGTTTAAGTTTATCATGTATGGGAATATCGGGCTTATCTGATTTGAAAATTCATATCTTTGACAAGACTAACAATATATTCTTAGGAATACATTTTTATGAACAACGACCTGCATCCGGAAATTACTTAATGCCTTTCAGTAAGCAAACCCTCAATTTCTTTTACTACCACTGGTACTATTTCTATCACTTTGGTACCTATCGTGACAATTTTCCTCACTGTGCTGATCGATGTAATGTTGCGATTTATACGGATGTGAGTATGTGCTAGGTCCTACGATACTACTTATAACTGACTGCTGAATTTAGGGGCGAAAAAGTGAATTCAAATTGAACAAAACAAAATAAATATAATTAAGCAATTGATACCGTTCAAGTTTATTTCATTTTTAAGTACTATCCTATTATCTTTCAAGATATAAAATAAAACGGGGAACTCCATTATAGCACAATTTATCTGAGCACTAAGTGAAGTACAAATTGGAAAGATAACCAAAGTTATTGAAAAATAAATTACGAAAATCTTGTAACTAGGAAATTCAAACACATGTTGTGAAACAATAATATATAAAAGAACAAGAAACAATCAAACAAAGAGCATCTAAATGTATGAGTATTACTAACTCAATCCCTTTATATATAGAGATTTAAGTCGAGCAAACCTCAGACTATTTTAAGAGATAACAAAAAAGTATAACTTTATCTATTCAAATAGAAAATTCCTGGTAGAGGATGGTTGAACATTTAAATGAGAAAGGATATAGATTTGAAAATATATATATATCAGCAGTTAATTATATGAGAAAAATAAAATGGAACTCTAGAATATTTTTTATTTTCCAACAAGCAACAGTGGAAAAGTAACAAAAATAGTGAAAGATCAAATGGCAAAAAAACAAACAAACAAAACTGAATAGTACAAGAAATCTTCCTAATAAATAGGTGAATATTCTATCAATTTAGGAGCCCATTGAGTTAGTAATTTATTCCATTTATTAGAAAATAGACTTTGGCAAAGACTTCGATCACGTTCATCAGACCAACCACCATTAACTCGTTGTTTAACATTTTCAGTATGTATTTTTTCTGATAAATGTAGAGACGTCGGATATAATTTGGTCAATAATGGTCCATTAAACATTTGTAAAATATTTGTTGCCAATAATTCTGTTGAGCAAATATTTTTCTGATGATGAATACCTCGGCTAATAAAGTAATTAAAAATAATAGTGATACATTTAAATAATGCTAAAAGTTTAATTTATTTCTATGAAGTTAGTATACCGTAGAACGTTTTAATTCAAAATATAATTTGACCACGAATGAAACTATGTCAAGATGAATATTTCGAAAAAGCATAAGTTACTGGTAAACCAACATGATATATTGTACAATAAAAAGAGGATTACTGATAGTTTTATATTATACACCCCATGAATTATGAAACTGTACTTATATACTATACAAATGAAATCAAAAGTAACACAAAAAAGTGGAGTAGGGTCACGAAAATTCTACACTAAATTCATAAATATACTGAAGTGTTTATATATTGAAGTAGTGGAGTTGACAATTGTTGCATTTGCCTCCTATTATAATAATTGTATGTATGTGGGTTATTAAGTAAGCCAACTAACTGGTAATTGGTTTTTAACTGACACATTGCAGTCAATGCATGTTAACAATTTCTTACTGCGCAATGAGCATAGACCTTTCTATCACACAAACATGGGGTAACACAAACTGGCCACGCGTATATAGCCTCTGCAAGGGAAGTCCTACTCAATGCCTTCTCGTGGCCTGGGTGTTTTTCACGAAATTGAGAGGACGAAAGCGAACGTCCGGCGCTTTAACCTTGTCGGTGGACATGGAGAGTTCACCTAGGAGAGTTGGAAAACCCTCATTCCAAACCAATGGTGTACATGGGCTCCAGTATACTAAAAGAACAAATGGCGTAGAAACGAATCGTTGGTCACCGGCTACCATGAGACTGCATCTCCTTACGATGCTCCACTACTTTGTGGATCAGACCTTCAAGTCAAAGGCCCCGAGTGTGTCCCCCTAAGAAAACCACCTGGTTCGGTTAGGGCACTCGGACAGTATCACAGCCCTCACACATATCAAATGAGATTTGTGTGGCGCATATGTATTTGGTGCCTCCTTGTACTAATATTTATGTGTTAACATAAATAAAACACCAACTACAGAAAGCAGTGATTTAAGTGGGATGCTGGATTTTGTTAAGACAGATCATAGCGTATGGCCAGAAGTTGAAGATTGAGGTTTATTTTGGTATGAGTGAGTGGTTGCTTACATGTGTAAATTATTTTACGAATAGTTCTGAATCCATTAGATGAAATTTGATCATTAGACAGTCGACTGTTTAGTATACATTTTCAGCTTATGGTGAAGATTTCCGATTGCATCCTTTCTTATGGTAGGGGATATTGGTGCTCGGGTGATTTCTTTATATTGTTGTCGAGTTCTCTGAGCTAAACGGTTTAATCGCAGAGCTTTTACTGTCTTTCTGCATAAAATGAGCGATTACTTCATCCTGGAGTAATTTATTCGAAAAAGACCAACCAACAAAATGGTCAGAAGCTGACGAAACAAAACATTCAACTTGAATACCAAGACAAGTAAAGACTACGAAGAAAACCAATCACAAATAATGCTGCTAGAACAAACTTATTTAACACTTTTGGAATAACTGAGAAGCTCAATTCTACATGAAATAGGCACTGATGATGCTCAGAACGACAGTGAAAGCTCAATAATTTAACTGTCTACCTCAGAACATCAAAAGTATTGGGTCTCTTTTGTCAACAGAATATATAATATTTTCGGTTGAATAATTCACATAACTGAAAATAAATATACCCAACTACTGATATGAAAACTAGTGCTGAATTACTGTTGAAACAAAATTTCTTTCTATGCAAATATGATTAATTATTATATCAAATCAATAGTACACAATAATTTATTTTTATAAAGTATAAAAGAGACAACTATGCCATTTATTATGATGACGTAAAGTAACGTGATCCTAATACATTTTTACTTCATATTACTTTGATTTTCAGAAATAACTGTAAAATTTAGTTATGAACTTTTACTTTCCCGAAAAAGATTTCCATATTTAACACACTACTGGACTCATAAATAATCAGGTTGATTATAACTAATGTACGGTCTAGAATAAATATGCATTACCTAAAATTATCAAATCACATTAAAACAATCTGATAAACTGGTTGCTAAAAGAGCCAAAATAATATAGTACCAATGTGAATTACTAAATGTTATTACTATAATTCGATAAAGTATGTATAAAAAAATATTGGAACTTAAGATCTAGAGTAAGATAAATAGTGACTGTATTCACTCTACTGTATAGGATTTTCAGTTATGTTGTCCAAAATCTCCAACCATTGATCACGGTGATTGATTAGACACCAATTAGGTAGTTTACACCTACCAAAAAATAAGGTCCGAATAACAATCAATTATTTCGTGGACTGGTATCACGTATCAACTTGATCATCTGCAGCTATTTTCCAACTTACTTCTACTTTAATCAACATTACACATGTCAAGATTACCAGTGATTAAGTATATTTAATCAGTTGCTACTCAGATATATAAATCATTATTATAGTGAATAAAATTCATTTCTATATGAATATTTACAATTCTGTTTATATAATTTTAGTTTGTATATTAACAATGTCATGTAATTTAATTTCTAATGATCAAAATATTGTCTCATTTAAATATACTCAGTGTAACATAACTTCTATTTGAACTTCAAACAATAGTTGTCTGGTCTATTAATCCATATATATTCAAATGTTCTAATACTTTATGCGGTAAATTTATGTATGTATTGTTTATTCTTTATTTTTTTCGAAAAAAAATAATCGAAACTAGTAACTGGTTGATTGATGTTAGCAGTGAATAGTTACTTACCAATAAACAGTATTATAATGTCAGTAAATAAGAAAATTAAATTCTTGAAGTTTGATGTAAATCGATTTGTCAGATGATAAATAACTACTTCTGTACGTTAACACAATTTTAGTAGTAGTATGAATGATTCACATTAAAAATTTAGTACATACAAACAAGTTAAACCACATGTTTATCAACCTTATGTGATAGTCATAAAGGATTGATGTAGTGTTTAAAGCATTAAACTTAATAATCATTTAATGTTTAAACAGGGGCTCGTGAAAAAAAACTCGAGAAAATCAGGTCGGTTTCAGACCAGAACGTGGATGTATAGATTAAATATTCGCGCTTCTTCAGGTTATAAAACACAGGCATAATTACCAATATCCAATAATAGTGATATTTATTAACTTGAAAATAACTTTCGAATCCGACGGTCAAAAGGTTTTATGGTATTGTATATCGTTAAAAGGTGTACCGATGAAGTAGATAAACTTTATCAAGCCTCTTTATTCTAACACTAATTACTAAGTAGGAACGTATGCAGAACTGCCATATGGATTTAAAATTTCTAGTGGTGTTCGTCAGAACTACCTTTTATTCACTTTTTACTTAATTTCATGATAGAAATACTGTTAAAAGGAACATTTTCTTCAGCTGAATTTTCCGAAAATGATCTCCTAACGAGAGGTTTAGTTAACGACCTGCAATACTGTTATGGTTATTTTTAATGATTAGACTAGACGACATTTACGATTATTAAAATCACTGAATACAATGCCAATTGATAGATGGACACAACAATAAGATGCAACCGAAGGATGGCTATTCACAAGACCGTATTGTTGACTAAAGCCCTCGAATTATCAGATATCAAAGACGAGACAACTAACCAGACGACTTTTCGTCTTTGGGTCAAAAACAACCTAGTTATGCTCAGAATACAAACAAAGTATTCAAAACCAAATATCGTAGACGATTGGAGGAAATTAGGTAGTAGGTCATTCAATCCCCAATAAATTAGATGTGACTGTTAGGCCTAACTTTTAGACATCGCATGAAATACGCGGATGACATAATCCTATTCAATGAATATTCTGAAATAATGTACAAGCCTTCTAAGTCAACCATTCTTGCGAAACGTTTTTCTTCTTTAAAATGCGAAATGATGCTTGAAGAATGGTCTGCATCATCGACTATATGGATAGTAGAGAGCACATGTTATCTTGGGAGTCTTATCATCCCTGGTAGGCTGACTTCCGAAGAAAACTCAGCATAAGCCCAGAAAAGCCACATGGCTTTCCCAACTAGAATCATCTGTGGCATAGTTGAGATGACCGCCTGCCAACGAAGAGAGTAAAACACCCCTATTTCACCTTATGGCTATTGAACGTGGCCTTTGAAAACAGAAAACATTCGTAGGTTAGTAGTATTTAATTATACGTGTCTTTCAAGTGTTCCTCATGTATGTTGGAACTATTAAGTGTGAAAAGCTGAGGTTAGACGCAAGGTGCAATTAAAATGTGGTAAAGCTGTTGTTCAATTTATGAATCTTCACTAACTGAGGTGGTTGGAACATGTATTACATAAGCCCAGCAACTGTTTACCTCGTCTTCCGATGTTCGCTGAGACAACAGTAGGTTGTTCATTTACAGATTCGGAGCTTCAAACTTATTTTATACCTTTCAATCAATCAATCAATCCAAAAGCTGATTCATTCTTCTTGGGTCGTATTCCCTTTGCTTAGTGCTCTCTACTATCACTGATATTACTAATACTTTAGCATTCATTTCGATAACTTCGTCTCTTTATACCAACATAGACAGATATACATGCGTCAGATTCTATTCTGCTTACGAGTGATTGACTCTCACTTAAATCAAAGGTGAGCGGTTTTTGTGTATTTATATGGATTGGTGTGAATAACCGTGACATCTATAATAACATGACTAAATATTAAAAACAAGATAATTGAAAATTTCTACTCGAAGTAACACGCCTAAAGATATTTTAGTAAAAGTGTGAGGTCACTGTTCACTATATTTGAGTTCTCAAACGTGATTTTCAATCGGAATTTTAAATTATCTGCATGTGTCTTTTCTGAACAGGCCGTTATATCGCATTTAAAATTACCGAATGAAAAAGCAAATAAAGTGAAGATTAAATCCTCGATGAAAAATATGCTGTCACATGCAACACTCACTTATTAAGTGAATGGAACAACCCTCAAAAATGCTTGATACTCCGCAAGCATTAAACACTAAAAACCGGATGTGCTGAGAATTCATGGATACGTACACATATCCTACCTCATGCATATATATATATATATATATATATATATATATATATATAAATTAATAACGAAAAGTACTGTTGCAAAACATTACTACTAACCATTCACCCAAATGAAAGACACGAGTAGAAAGAGGTAGAGTCAAGGCCTTCAGTTTGCCTGGGAAACAATTTTGACCAATATACTGTAGACTCCAGTCCCAATTATAATCATCATAAAGACAGAATAACTGAAGAAGAAAAAAAAACATAAATGAGTTATTAAGCTCAGCACATGTAATTTCACACATTTAAAAAAACAATACTTGTAAACCTAATAAATCACAGATCATACTGTTGGGGTGTTAACATATTATTAGAGGAAAATTTTACTAAAATATAATACCAATTTCTTAGAGAATTGCTCAGCACTGTATTAGTAGGGTTTAAATATTTATTCATTTTATTTGTTCATAATACGGAAAAATCTATAAGATAGGTTAAACTTATATTGATCAAGTCACAAATAACAATAAATTGATGTTGTTAGGTAACATACCAAGTGCATTTACAAAAATATGACAATCTGAGTGAACTTTACAACTCTCGGAAAATAATCAATAAAGTAGTCACTGAGACAGTATAAGTTAACAGGCATAATTATACGTGTCTTTAATCTTACTTCTTAAAAAAAAGTTAAGTTGACAAACCTTTGAAGCATGATTAAAGATTTGGTATTTTTAAATGCTTACAGTAAAACTAAGAATTTACAAATAAACAATAATAGAGTTAAAAGGGTCACCATTATAATATACTTACTTCAGTTTGTTAAGAGATTACTACTTTATTACTGATACGGTTATTCTTTAACATTTTGTAAAGAATAAGTTAGAAAAAGACTAATATGTGTAGGCCGATGATGAATGTTTAAAACTATATCAGTAAGTGAATTGCTATAACGGGGTAAATATTAATGAAAGCTGAACTTTCAGAACTGTTCTATCTAAAATTAATGTATCTCTGTATTCTCTTATTTATAAGCTTTCATTGGACTCATAAACTACTGTTTTATGTATTTTATCTTTCTCAAATTATTGTCAATTAATTATGTACCTATCACATAGCCGTCTTCCATTTTTTGACGTAGTTATGCCTATAATGTAATATTTCGTAATTATAATTGATCCGTCGCTTGGAATCCTCAAGGCCAAAGGTGGAGAGGAAGACCAAAGAACAAATTACGCCGAGAAATAGAGAGGGATATGAAAAGAATGAACAAAAAATTGATAGAACTTGAAAGGAAGGCTCAAGAAAGAGTGGGTTGGTCTATGCTCCACTGGGTGTAACAGGCGTAATTTAGTAATGATTGATCCGGGGTTAAGGTTTTACTCCATATTATTTTTATGAGATGGGTCATGGGGTTAAACTATATATAATTAAGAGTTATCGATTTACTGTGTTATGTCCTATTCTAGCTATCAGGTGAACAAGCATGAGAGGATGATATTCTGGACAATAATCAAAGATTATTATTTACAAAAATAACCAATAAGTAATTTTTATTTATTTATTTATCCTCAATTATTATTCATTTATGAAAGTGTAAACTATTAATCAATCAACAATAATAGATTTATTAAAAATATTGAACATTATTAAAATAAAACAATTTACAATGGTTTACCATGGTTACATAAAACTATTTTTAAACATCTATGGTAAATTTTAACAGCTTAAAATCCATTACTATGTAAATTATACGATAAAATACTTAGTATCAGAAGGGGTTTTTGTGGATATTATAGTAGTTTCAATAGTTGAGATCATGAGTCAATTGAAGCTAGACCACCATGGAAAACCTGGAAGCACTGAGCGGCCATTTCGTCCTATTGTGGGACTCTTCAGCAGTGATCTAGAGGTAAAGTATTCGCGTGCGAGACCGATAGGTCTTAGGTTCGGATTTCGCGAGGCATGATCGTGAACACGCACTGCTGAGGAGTCTCACAATGGGATGAAACAGACGTTCAGTACTTCCAGGTTTTCCATGGTGTTCTAGCTTCAATCGACTCATGATCTGAACTATTAAAAATTCTTAAATGGAAAATCATTTTCTTTTTGTTAATTTTTCAGGTCATTAGTTTTAAGGTACAATATGTTTTACTGTAATTAAAAAACTTGTAGTTTTCAAACAAGAAATTTATCCTTATTATAACCAATGAATAGTTCATAATTTATTCCATTTTCTTTAAGATAACACACAAAGTTAAATGTTTCAATTTACAGAGAAATTTATATGCAAATAAAGTTTAATAAATTCATTTTTGTTAGGATGATTGAAAAATCAAAAAAAAAAAGAAGAAAAAGAAATAAAACCTATATCACTGTGCCGATCAATTTTCATCTCTTTATTTTTATAATATGGATCAATAAGAAAATCGATTCGAATTTTTATTGTAACAGTTACTAACAACTAATATGATATGGTGCTCGAACAGAATCAAGGCTATGGTGTTTTTTTCTATGATTTTATATTTTATTACAAAATAATTGAACTGTCTCAGAAAATCTTGTTTCGTATTAAAATTTAACAACCAATCGGAACTATTTATATTATAGTGATATTAACTAATCAGATTACAACAATTCATTCAGTATTTAACAGTCAGTTAAACAAATAAAATGCCCCCAAATACCCTGGTACGGCCGAGAGTGGGGAAAGTCCGCTCTCCCACGCCAAATGCTCTCATATGGCCTCGCTTATATAGCCTGTTCCAGGGAAGTCCTACTCAATGCCTTCTCGCCAAATTACTGTTGTTTACAAAGTTGAGAGGACGAAAAGCGAATGTCCGGCGCTTTAACCGAATTGATGGAGACCGAGAGTTCACCTAGGGGAGTTGGAAAACCCTGACTTTAGACCAATGGTGCACATAGGCTCCAGTACCCTGCGGGAACAAATGGCGTATGAACCAATTATTGGTCACCGGCTACCATGGGACTGCATCTCCTGACATTGCTCCACTGCCTTGTGGATCAGACCTTTAAATCAAAGGCTCCGAGTGTGTTCCCCTAAGAAAACCACCTGCTTCAGTTTGGGCACCCGGGAAGCATCACAGCCCTTACACAAATCAAATGAGATTTGTGTGGTGCATATGTATCTGGTGCCCCCTTGTACCAATATCTATGTGTTCAAACAACTAAGTAATAAACAAACAATATGTTCCTCCTAATTGTATGAGTACAAATTTTGAAAAGAAACAGGTCAACCAAATCATTTATTTGTAAATACTTATAATTATTTCTTTAAATTTTTATAAATAGAGATTAAGAATTTCAATCACCGGAGGATAGATGTCAGTCATGATTATCAAGTGAGTGTAGGAGAACTGTATACTAGACCAATAGTCGTTGAGTATTATTTTCGGGTGTTAACTCACTATCAACGTGTCCATAGTTAGTAGAATGTCATCGGTATTGTATGAACAATCTATGCGAATTAATCAATACTCGGACTATGGCATACAACTGCTCGCCTGTAATTACAATCCAATTACACGGGTCTCAATATAACTCAAGCATCTGTTTTTGTTTACTGTCATATCATGAATACGTTTTAGAATTTTTAAATTTGTGCAGCTATCAAGGCGTCAAGTACAGCCAAGATTGCTAGATTGCAAAATAAAAACAGAATTCTATCCCACAATTAGTCGTTTAGATAATTTGAAATTACAAATACGGGAATGCTTAGCTTAAAACCAGAAAGAGAAATCTTTGAATAAATTCGATAGTGACCATGTATATTTATTAAAAATACATATTTCTAAAAGTAAGGTATGTAAATACATTGATGTCACCAAAAACGATAAAATGTCCTATTATCAATATTTTACATAACTCACGTTCAAGCATTGTTCAATATTTTTCCATACAGTACGAGATACAGCCATACCCATATTGTGTTTCGGCGCAAGCCAGTAAGTTAGTTCAACCTAGAAAAATAAAAACAAATACCAATGTAATTTACATGCTCACATGATTAGTGTAATGTTGGAGTTGATAATACTTGAAAGTATCAAACAGGGTTTAGTACTGTAGATACTATGAAATCTACACTACTAATACTTTAAACAGTGGAAAAGGAGTTTCAATAGTAGGATTTTGATCAATGTTAGACCATCCTTGAAGACCTGGAAGCACTGGGCGGCCATTTTGTCCTAGTGCGGGACTCCCCAACAGTGCGCATCCACTGAGCCGCCGTCCAACGATTTGATGGCAGTAATCTTCTTGAATCTCCAGAAAAGGGTTTAAATATCATAAAGTTTGAGCGATTCATGATAAAGTTAATCAACTTGGGAAAAAATCGCTAAAAATCATCGATAGCCTATATGGCGATAAACTACAGAACTAATGATGTTTAATTTGCCAAAGAATATATACAAATAGAAAAAAATCTGTTGCCTTATTTGCATTAAGTGAATTAAAGACCATGTGACTGCTTTTGGAAGGAGTTGTGTTTTTTTAATTGAGTGGCTTAATCGTGAAGCAAGCAGACTCAAAGATGAAGTCTTGTTTCCTGAAAGAAGAAAGGTGTTGACGAGATCCAAAGTATTACTCGAAATGTTTAGAGAGAACCTGAAAACACAGGGAAGCATTTTACTCAGTCAGTTTTGAGTAGAAGTTTCTCAGAAACACCTAGAAATTGAAGTCATATTTCTGGCTGCACGATTACTATATTTAATATGGTCCCAGAACCTCCCAAATCCATCTGGAATACTATAAATACCCTCGACTTCGTGTACATGAAGTAACCTTGGAGTAAAGTGTCCCTTTCACACTTCGCACCTTTTCTTTCATCCTCAAGTTGTCATTGTAGATTCAGCCTAGGGTTATTACAAGAACTTAGTAAGCCAATTCAACCGTTCAGTTAGAAGACTTATCACGAACAACTGAAAGTGTATAGTAAACGCCTTGATTGGTTTACATTTTCGTATAAATATTCATGTACATTAGAGTAAAGCCTGATGACGATCTAATTGAAAACAATTGTTCGCTTATATGTGTTGTTAAAAAATAACACGATCATTGAGAAAATGGCCGCAAGTTTACAACTACTATTAAAAGCGTGGAGAGAATTCATGGCATTAATTACATTCATGAACAGATTTGTAAAGAGATAAGTCAACAAGATACCAAAGAAAGATCTTAGTAAATGTAAGGACTAAATAGATATCACACTACTATCAGAATCAGGTAGTTTTCAACAGAGTGTCGCCAAACCAAATGAAGATTTAGTAAACACCCAACTTCGAGACCAACTGACTGGGATTCGTAAGGACCGATCATGTTCAGGCCAAATCGCTACAATTTAGTTGATTGTTGAGCAGTCATTTGAATGAAAATCGTCACCAAACATCAATTCCCTTAACTATGGGAAAGCATTTGGCAACGTGGATAGAAAGGCCTAATGGGACCTTCTTCGACACTATGGGGTACCCGAGAAAACCGTCAATATCATACGGAATTCTTATGATGGACTACACTGCAAAGTCGTGAATGTAAGACAGCAATACATATGCATTCCAAGTGTAGGATAAGCCTGCTTACTCTCACTCTTTCCATTTCTTCTGGTGGCTGACTGGATTATGAAGACCTCTATATCTCAGGGGAAGCACGGAATACAATGGACAGCTTGGATGCAGCTAGACGATATGGACTTCGCAAACGACCTAACCCTTGTATCCTACACACAATAAACAGTGCACGAGATTATGATACCCAGTTCAGCAGAAGCCTGTGAAACAGTAAACCTACACATTCACAACGGAAAAAAGATACTAAAATAAAGCACAGACAGCACCAACCAGATCACTGTTGATGGGGAAATTCTGAAAGAAGTGGAAAGTTTTACGTAGCTAAGCAGCGTTCTTGACAAAATAGGGAAATCAGATGCAGATATGAGAGTACAGATTGGAAAAGCAAAAGAACAATTCCTATGACTGAAAAACATCTGGAAATCAAAACACCGGTCAGTCAACATCAAAGTCAGAACTTTCAATACAAGCGTCATGACAGTACGAGTGTACGGTGCTAAGATGTGGAGAACTACTACAGATATCATCAAAAAGGACAGGTATTTATAAATAGTTGTCCACAACAAAATACTCCAGATCAGTTAGTCAGACAATCAGAAATAAACTACTCTGACATGGAATAAACAAGCTTCCAACTGAGTAAGAAACTAAGAAACGATGCTGGAGGTGGATAATTCATCAAAGTGCTTCACAACACAAGGCTTAACTTGGAATTATCAAGACTAAAGGGAAAGATAGACAAAAGAATACATTGAGCGGAGAATCAGAGTCGGATATCAAAAGACGAATACTACTTGAGAACAACTAAATACAGAACCCAGAACAGAGTAGGCGGGAGACGTGATCAGTGGCCTATGCTCCACGAGAGGTAACTGGGATAACTAAGTACGTAACTGTTAATCAACCACCGCATACTTTTGCGCGCAGTGCTGGCTAATGTAGAAGTAAATTGGAAGAAAGCTAGGAGCGGCCAAACTATCAGTTGATGAATTCACTGAATGGTGATCTGAGTCATGTTAGTAAGTGCAAGCTACTCAGTTAGTACCAACGCAACCGTCGTGACCAGCGGTTAGAGACATTGAGTGACATGGCTTACAATCAGGTGTAATGGTATAGATGCATTCATTCTGTTTTTTTAATTTTAAAATTATTCTATACCCTGTAATCTGTAAATTCGTTCATTATTCTCGAATCACGTAGCTTATGTCGAATCTTTTCGATACTACTGATCCCTTCGTCTCATACAAAGACAATACAAACATTAGGGGTCTATTCCAAAAATAAAAGTAAAAAAACTTATTAATATTATTGCCAGAAAAAATCAGCTTATCAAATTAGATGGTCATTCAAAAGAAAGGGAAATAAAATATCGAAATAGATACCTTACTTACCACATTGGATAAATACATGTTATTTTTATCGTATGATCCAAGGGCAATAATCCCATCAGTTTTTAAAGGACTTTGTAATAGAAATAAACACAATAAAATATGATCAATCATTTTACAGACAATTTTGTCTATTGAACATAATAACATAAATAACGTACATAAGCTTGACAAAAATATTTAATAATGACGAATAAGTATATCGGACAGAAAAACACATGAGAATGTGGAACGATGGCATCATAGTTAAAGTGTTCAGTTATCAGCCAATAAGTCCTAACTTCGAACCTTACTCCATTAACTTCAGTCTATGTTATCAAGTAGTACCATTTGCCCTCATAATTACAACATGGTTTGTATCTAAGTAGCTGGTGCATGAGTACAAACAAAGTGGGAATAAAACAGACCATATGATATTATGTTAGTATTTATTGTTTCGAATGAATATTATTTATTTGACAATAAGGTTTATTTACAGTAAATTTTTTTAGTTACATACGTCCATTTTATTCCTGAAAATTAAAACAAGTGTGATGTATGCTACTTATGTCTGTCGACATAGGTAGTATATAACACCAATCAGAAGTGGAATGCCTGGCAGCAGGAGGTTGGGAAGATAGAATCAAAGAGAACGGGAACAGAGTAATTGTAATAGCAATGAAGGAACGATGAAGTTTGAGACAACTGATGGAGGATTTGCAAACAAAGTATTGAATGTATGGTTTTCACATTTTACGAAAGAACTCTGTAATTTTGTATTAAATAACAAATTGGTTGTCCCCACATGAGTGTTCGTTCATTGATGCCCCTGCCAACCAGGCGGAGAGGTTGCAGTTCTGTGGACGTCTTCGTCGGGCCTGAAGAGAAGGCACTAGTTGGGGCTTTCTGGTGCGGGAAAGTGGCGTCGAGTGTTCGGGAGGGGCGGTGTTGGCTGTCATCGCAGAGGAGCAATGGGACGTGCGGCTGTTGGGAGGACATCGGATGTAGACGGCTCAGTGGGTCGCTGGGCGAATATCAGGTTTAGATTGCCCGGAGACTCGATATTGCTATGGAGGTCAGCGCGCCGACGGACTTGTGTTGACAGAAATAAGTAGCACATAATACCAACTAGAATTGGAAAACCTGACAGCAGAGGGCTAAGAAGATCGAGGTGACGAAAACAGAACAGTATTGTGAATTGGAAGAATTATACAGAATATGGACAGTTGATGGAAGATTTGCAAATGAAGTATTTAATGTATGGTTCTCATATTTTACCAAGATATTCTGTAATTTTGTATTAAACAATAAATTGTCTGTCCACACCCCAATCTCATCCATTACACAAGGACAGAGTGCACGTTCATGTACTTAATAACTGTAAAGTTGATCTATACAACATAAATGAATGACAGCAATCAATTAATTTAGATTATATTATTTCCAACCCCAGAGAACAATGAGTATCGTGTTGGTTAATAACATTAGGATACTCATATCTCTACATTAATAAAGTATATATATATATATATATATATATATATATATATATATATATATATATATATATATATATATATATATATATATATATATATATATATATATATATATATATATATATATATATATATATATATATATATATATATTATTTATATATATATATATATATATTTCACTGGTAGAGAGAGACAGCAAAGTCTGATGATTAAAATGAAAATAAACCTCTAACCTATTTGAAGAGCTTTTGTGAAGACTGATTTAAATTTGTACGTAGTATTCATCTCAGATTGATTACATTTAATGTATCATTGAGAAGTATGGAGAATTTAATAGCTGTTTGGTATTAATATGGAACTATTCAGTAGTGTGCAGGTACAACCCTAGGACCTTCGGGTTCCACACTGGACGTCGAAATCACTAGAACTACTGGAATAGAGTCCGACGGTACAATCCCAAATGCAACCAATTTGTGCAACGACCATTCAATGTTATTAATGACAAATGTTTCGTTACCGACTTTTCTGAACTCTACTCGTCATAATTTCTAACCAGAAGAATCCCGAGAATGCCATGAAGTCATTAAGGAGTTGATCATAGTCTTAGCAGTATAGGGTTGTGAAGGTTGTTGAATTTCAATGGAATCACGAGCCGAAATAAGTTAGACAATCGCTGAAAAACCGAAAGCACAGAACGGTCGTTTCATCCTACTACGACACTCCTTAGCAGTGCACATCCACAACCGCGCCATCAGAGACCGAACCCAGCACTTTCGGCCTCAAACGAAAATCCTTGGGAAGTGGAGCTAAAGTGTTTCGGGCTTGAAGAAGGAACTCACCGAACACCATAGAAGATGGTCACGCAATATCATGAATTGAAGTTAGGCTTGTACATCATTGGATCTTAGCTCAGTGGTCTAGACGTTGAGAGTTCGAAGGCCCTGAGTTCGGTTCCCGTATGTACGGTCACGGATATGCACTGCTCAGCGTTAACATAGTACGAAAAAGCGGCTATTCAGAGCCTCTAAGTCTTCAGTAATTGCTTAGCATAGATCGGTTCACGACTTCAATGAATATTATGGTTTTAGTTGAAAGGTTTTTCTAGTGACTTGTTCAATTTACAGTTAGTGTTTTGAACCATACTTGAAAAAAATGGAAATTTTATTTTACTTTCACAATGATAATTAATTCCTTCCTTATTTTATTAACTCTTCTAAACAATAGGCATTTATTAGTATAAAATAAAATGAAGCAGCTAAGTTTGCAATACGATCAGAAAATATGAAAACTATGCCTAGTTAATATTTTTATCGTTTGACTTCAACGATCAATATATATATATATATATATATATATATATATATATATATATATTATTATAATATATATATATATATATATATATCATATCGGATTTAATTCCGAAAGACTCTGTAAACATTAAATACAAAAAATTCTATAAGAGAACCGTTGAAAAAGAGAACATTAAAAACCATGATTTCATCTTCTTTTTACAATAAACTAACCAAAATATGAACCCATCAACAAAGAAATGATAAGGTTGCTCTTGTTGTAATTTGCATAAATTTTTTGAAGTGCATATTTGAGTTCGCGTGAAAATATGTACTGTCTTCATTTCACCTGCATACACAGTGGAGTGTTACGTAATTAGTGAAGAATAGTCATTCATCGTGATCATTATATGCAATGTAGAGCCTGACAAATGTGCTTCACTTCAAGTTGTCATATCACATTAAGACGAGATGAAATTACTTCAAAACAAATTCCACAGAAGTAGAAGTAGTAACAGTATCAGTAGTAGTAAAAGATCAGACATGGAAAAAGAAAGGTGTTAGCGGACATAAATTGGATTTAAGCATGCTCAATGCACGATTGCTTTGGTACTTGGAGAACACTCTAGAAATCTCATGTAAAAACTATAAATATACTAACGTTTTCCCTATTGTGCTTCTTACTCCCATCTAACCTTGTTATTTGGAATATAATCTCTTTCCTGCTCAACCGTGTTCTGATTTGGGGACTTGTCGTGTGAATTGGTGTCCAAGAATACTAAGCAATAGGAATAGCTGGGTTGTAATAAGAGAAACTCATAACAAAAGGTAAAAGAAAGACTTTGAGACTCAGGTTCTAGAGGAAGACAAGAAGTGAATGCACTTGCACCCATGCAAACGATTTTGAAGCATGTCGCCTAAAGTCTCTAACCATTGGTTACAATAATAACATGGAACCCAATCAGGTAGCTTATACCCACATACATGGCTCAGTCCAATTGTCGATAAGTTGATGGACTGGTGCAACGTCTTGGTTTTACCGCTCCTAGTTTTCTTCTAACCTACTCCTAAGGTAAAACAACATCGCCCGTTGAGGTAGCCAATAGTTAGGCATACGCAACCACATAGCCTAACCACCTCAGTTGATAAAGATTACCGCATCAACTGACTTGCCATTTTTACCTAATACTCTATTCTCAACTTCGGCATCACTTATTCGATGGTCCAAAAACACATGAGCAATCCTTCGAAGACACTTACAGTCGAATACTATTAACCTGTGAATGTCTTCTATCCCTAATGACCGCATTTCACACCCATAAAGTAGGACAGAGTGAAATGCTGAGCAGTAAACGCGTCCTTTGGTTGGTAAAAGGATATGTCGGATACGCCACCAGTGACAGTTCAATAAACAGAGATCGAGCTTTACAAATCTGTGTCAACATTTCACGAGCCTATCAGGAGTGATAAGACTCCCAATATAAGTGAAGCAATCGGTAGATTAAACTAATTCACTCTATCAACAATTCGGGCCCTGATGCAAGTCAGTGCCAAAGAAACACTATGCATTTCAATGAAGGGAATTACGTCCCAAACAAGCTGACATTGTTGTTTACGGTTGTCAAAAGACTGCATTTTGTCAGTGTCTTCATCAAAAAGAACTATATCATCTGCGTACTGCAAGCCAACAACAGAAATTTTGGTTGTCAAAATCGATGAATAGAATGCTAATTTCATACACATAGTTCCCTTTATCATTTTGAAAAGAGCAAGAACAAAGATTCTAGCAGAATAGCATGAATTCATTTTATTTCGTAGGTTCTCGTCAGCTGCTTACAACCTATGATATTTGAAAATCATAATTACATAATGGGTTTAAATTGTTAACTGAATATCGTAAATATATACCTAATGTGAGAGAATATTCTACAACATTAATTGTGACAACAGTTCAAAAGTGGGTTAGAAACAATCGATTACATAATGAATAACATTGAAGGAATGTAGTGAGTAGAGTTCAGTTGAAAGATTATTAATTTGAAAGATAGTTGAAAAAATTAAAGTCAATGATGTAATAAATGCAAAACAAGGGAAAACAAAAGAAAAGAAAAAATTTTTTTTAAATTATTTTTAAATGCAGTGAAGGAATATATTTGTCACCAGGGCAAGGAAAGATTAACCACCGTCTCCTTTTGAATAATAGGTCAGGTTTTTGACGCCTGATGGCAATGGCTTCAGCAAACTTCAGAAGACTGGAGTTTGGCTGCTTACTAATCACCCTAAAGGATTGTAAGGTATCTACCTGATGTCCTGTATCGAGGAGATGTTTGGTGATTGCACTGTTCAGAGTCTTTCTTTCCCTTGTTCTGAGACTTTTTGGAACATGTTCAAAGAATCTAAGATATGCTCTCCTTTCAGTTCGGCCGATGTAGCTGCTTTGGCAGGTACATGTAAATTTATAAATGCAGTTGGCGGTAACCTGAAAGGGTTGCTTGTCGATCTTTGATTGGGTCATTGAGCATGTTGTTTTATAGAGAATTAAAAGTTTAGCAGCCGGATAAGTTCTGGCTAGCGCTGTATTCAGTCTCTTGTTGATAATTTGTGCACAAATTATCAACAAGAGACTGAATGCTAATTGACAGATAAACCATATGATACAATGGAACCAAGAGGTGGCTACTCACGAGACCGTATAATTGACTAAGGCCCTTGAGTAATTGAAAGTCAAAGACAAGACCACAAACCAGATGAATAATTTTTCAGGTAATAAAATGACATACTTATATACAAAGCATGAACACAGAATAAACATAATGTCTTAGGCGATTGGAGGAAATTAACTTATAGGTCGCTCATTCTACAACTAATAAAGACTTGAACATAGTATCAGTTATCACTAAAAACTTTTTTATGACAAACTTTTTAAAAAATGACGAAAGTGGACAACCCTGAAGAACACCACATGAAGTTATCGATTCCAAAGTTGGCTCTGACTAGACAACTAGTGTTCGAGTAGAGATCCTGTACATGGTTGATGTACTTCTTTAGTAAGCTTTTAGAGACAGACAATGATATAGAACCTTACGATCAACAGAGTCGAATGTTATCTTAAGATCAAGAAAGATAACTATTGTCGAACGTCAAGAAATATATCTAAGTCCAGGACCTATCGAAGACTGAATATTTAGTCTATAGATCCACGTTCAGGTCTAAAAACAGCCTAAGTTTTTTTTTTCTATTTTACTGTTTACAAGCTCTCATTAAGCGTTGACGTGTTATTGAAGTTAATATTTTAAAAAACTGTATTGGTCAAATTGATTTGTTTGTGATTATACGATAGGACTTTTTTCTTCTTAGGATGATCAGTGATTTAAACCAGTCAGATTATATAAATATATTCATTTGTAATAATATTTAAAACTAACCTCCAAACATTTTTTACTAATAAATTCCGACATATATAAAATATCTTCTACAACAAAATGATCTTCTTCTAATAAGATGAAGTAACCCTTATAATATTTTGTTGGATAAAAATGATTCATTACGAATTCAATCTAAAGTATTTTTTTTAAAAAACAAAAAACAAACAAACAAACAAACATATGCATTAAAAATGTTATAAACATTCAGTTTTTTTTTTTTAAAACAAAAATTAGCTATGAATTACATTAAGTCATATAATCAATAATGAGTTCATTAATAGATATTATAATTGTTGACCATTAGAATGATTAAATATGTACACATCTAAACATTTAAAATAATGTTGAAGAAAACAAAATACTAATAATTTGTCACTAAGTTAATAAGAACAAAAAGTTTTGGAAATAATTATTGATTGGACAATAATCTCTGTAATGTATCAACCAAACACAGATTCATGTACTCAGGATTCTGATTTACATTTTATGTATATAAGGATCAATGATACTATTTGGCTGATCAAATTGAAGTAGGTGAAACTAGACAGGAACACCTACCAAAATAATTGGTTGAACGTCTTAACCACTAAACAAATTGTTCTCCCACCAACAATAGTAAGTATTAATTAATATATTTGTAATATCCTAATGAGTAGAAAAATTAAATTTTCTGAAGTGACTCAGTGTAAGCCTCTTCATAATATTCTTGTTGTTCCATTGTACTATTTAAACTTGGATTAATTTTGATTTGGTTATTTATTCTCTGAAGAAATGGCTTACACTAAGTCACGAAACGTCAGAAAAATTAATTTTTTCTACTCATTGGGATATTACAAATATATTCGTTAATTTACAACAATCTATCCAATGCTCAATTTATTCAAAATTATTAAGTCAAACCTTGGTAATGATACCTACAATAGCAACTATTATTTAAATGATTATGTTGTAATGATTGGCTTAATGTGAATATAGTTTTCATTAGAGATTGGTGGTAACTGAAGAATCGCTGTCAGTCATTGAGTATTAGATTTTAAGTTCAAAGAGTAAAAGACCACAGATGTTCGACCCCCTAAAAAAATTGAACATTACCTTGACTTTGAAGTATTCATAACTCATACTGAAAACCTTAATGCGTTTGAAAAGAATTAATCTAATCAAGTTGCTATTTCCATAAATAGCTTTTCAAAACTTATGAAATTCTTGAGAGTTTTGGTGCTGAGAATATATATATATATATATATATATATATATATATATAATACACTAGTTACATCAAAAATCCTAATGTCTTAGTTTTGGAATTTATACACTTTTCTAACACATACCATTGTTATTATTAGTAAAATATGAAATGAATATTGGGGGAAAAACAAGGCTAAAACAGTATCTAATTTTTTCTATTACCATAGTAACCAATGTCCTCATCACAAATTAAGTCGGGTTACCTTATTTTTTCTAAACTTCTTGCGTTCTTTCTTTAGAAAATAGAGAACCGTAATCTTATAATGACTTTGACAAAACATTAGGTTAATGAAAGTTTTTTTACGCGTGAGAGCCTACTTTTATCTTCTGAACATTTTGTATTCAGTTTCTGATTAATAAATAACCATGAACAACCTATTAAATAGATCAGCTATAATTAGTAGCTAATTTAAGTTTATTTGACTGAAATTTTTCATGAAGCATTTTGTTTAGAATCTTTCTATCAGAAACCAATTGGGTTAATCAACTTTTTTAACAATTCAGTACCTAATATATAATGATTATAACAATAAAGTTTTCAGTATTGTGAACAACAAATCAAATCTTATTTTTGATAGAATGAGTAGTTAGTGAATTGTGAAGAAATCTTTGTTACATCACTCTTTAAATTAAGTATTGAAGATGTTGTTTAAGAAACAATGAAAACTTCAGACAGTCAGTCAGTCTCAGTAACGCTGAGACTGGCACAGATGTGTTTTCCCAAGCCACTATACCGCTATAGAACGACGAGGTGAAAATCACAAGACGAATAGTACAAGAGATAAAAATAATATGGTAGCAATTATGACGAGGAAGAATAAATAGATACAATATATATCGAAAAGACGGAGTGGAAAAATATGGAGAAATACTGGGAATCAAGATAGAGAAGATAAGGAGCGAGCGCATCTACGCCATTGTGAACGATTCTGACCCATGTCACCGAAAGCCTCCAGATACTGACTGAGGTGATCGCGCGGAATCAAATCGAAAAGTCGGCATCTGCCAACGTTTCTCAGACTCATAGTCAATGATTACATAAATCAGTATCATGTCTTGATTTATCCATCCACAGATTTCTTCCAACATACTTCTATACCTCTAAAATCTTTAACCTCAGCCACAAATATTTTCCATCATCTGAGTCTAAGTTTACTGGAAGAGAAAAAGCAGACTAGCGTCGGAAAAAGTACAATTTTTTGAGGTATCATTACTAAGGTTTAACTTGATAATTCCGAATAAATTGAGCATTGGATAGATTGTTATAAATAAAATTAATATATTTATATAATTTCGTCAGATTAATCTGATTGATAATAATCCCAGATGATAAAATAATGAAAATAAACACCATGTAATGAATAAAACATTTGTTATATATATATATATATATATATATATATATATATATATATATGCTGTGAAATTTTCTGATTGATTTACAGCAGTTTTTAGAAAAACTGGAGAAGTTCGATGTTACGAGATTCAATTATCTTCAGTTCGTATCTTGCAGAAGTGTTCTAAAGCGAGAAATATTTGCTGCTTGCTTTCAAAGTTTTGCCTACTACCCTAAGTTCTATTTTAATTTGCTTAACTTTATCTTCAGACGTAAATGATTTGGAATGCGTTTTTAATTAGGCTCAGTATACGACCATATGTTATCATCATATCGGATGACAACAATAAACTGAAGAAAATAGAGTGAGGGGAAATATTAAGGAAACTCCAAGGTAACTAGCAACTAAATGGTACATTGTAACAATCAATTTTAGTGTTTGTAACATTGAATTATGACTGTGTTATAGAGACTCATAACATTAATCTGCTGAAAATAAAGAATTAGGTGAAACAACAATTAGGTTAGGACTCTATATTTAAGTCTAGTACACAAGAAATGAAATCACTACTTTAAGAAGTTAAAGAGTCAGCTAGTCGTTTTATGTAGAACCTGGTACATAGGTGCATTGGTTTGTGTTGACACTACACATTATTACACCGAGATGAAATTATTAAGATAAACATTAAAGAGGTAGTATTAGTGGTAGTAAAAAAAATTATCAAGAAAATGATTCAAGAAGAACAAATTAAGTAGTGAAACAAAAATAAGTTTAAAACTCAGGGTCTAATAAAATACAAGGAATGAATTTATCTCAGCCATCTCATCTAATGTCTCCAACCGTTAGAGTCCCAATAATCACATCGACCCATCAATCAACTAGCCTACGCCAACCGACATGTATCAGATAAAGTCAATGACTGCATCAACCGATGATACATTTTAGTTTAGGTACCTCTATCTTTCTCCAGATCTACTCTTACCTTATTTAATATTGAGGGGTTAAGGTAGACGGTTGTTGGGTGTACGTAATATGTGTCCCAACCACTTCAATTGGAGAAGATCCAAAAACTTATTAACAGTTTTATCATTTTTGCATAGTACCTTACGCCTAATCTCAGCATCGTCTACTAATAAATTTAAAAATAGACACAATAATGAAACCTAATACATGTACCAAATTAATAATGGAAATTATTAAAGTTATCTTAGATAATAAACTTGTACAATCCCCAGAAGATTTTAAACAGGATCCTTTAGCTTCTATTTTCATAACTTTTTCATGAAACCTGATAGTTATTTACTTAGAATTAGACCGTAAGAAGAGAGAAAACTGTGGCAATAATCACCTTTGTGAATTTCTGAATGATTTAAAAACTAGAACAACACATATAAGCGAACAATTGTTTTCAATTAGATCGTCATCAGGCTTTACTCTAATATACATGAATATTTATACGAAAATGTTAAACCAATCAAGGCAATATGGGTCAATAATCACAATGAAATAGAATAAGTCTCTACACATAATAGGTAAAAGTACAAGTTGATAGTACGAAGACAGGTGAACAGATAGTGGTAAGAATAATAAACTACAATAACAAAACTCTTATCAATAGTTAATCGTTGGAAATAGAAGGTCAAATAAACATGGGTAAATAGACTAGGAATAGTAATCACAAAACATTAAAAATCATTACGTAATAAGATGTGTGTAAATAATTAGATAGTGAAGAATACAAAGAGGCGGATAATGACAAACAAATAATGGATGTGGAAATAAGGTTAACAATAACACAGATAGAATAAAATAAATAATGATAATAATAAAATTTAAAATTAAAAAAAAATTGTTAGTTAAGTTATAACTGGCCATGGAAGGGATAGGGGAGTCACGTATTTCTTCTGTACACATAGATTGGGGTTATATGTACGAATTCCAATGGCTTCAGCTATATATAGGAGACGGGAACGGACTCCGTCGGGAAATGATGGAGGTATACGATAGATAACTCGAAATGATTTCGATTTATCTACTGCATGACCGCTATCAATAAGATGTGCTAGTATAGAACTGCGAATAGTTTTTCTCTGACCCTTTATGTACCAAGTTGGTAGATGTTCACTCATTCGTTGGTTAAGTTGCCTGGTAGTACGCCCTATATAGCTATCTCCACAGGAGCAGCTGAATTTGTAAATGCACATGGAAGAGGCCAACTCAGGTAACTTATCCTTCGTTTGAGTAGACATCGCTGGTCGACAAGAGAAGGTCAACGCAAGATTGGCTGCGTAGAATGTCTTGGTGATTACTTTGGTTAACCTATATTTCAGAGTGTCACTAGCCACATCCCCGTTGAATTGCACTTTCATGTATAAAGGTTTCTTACGAACAGTCGAAATCTCCGACTTCTTTATTATATCCTGCATGTATTTCTTAATGAACGCGCTGGGGTAGCCGATCTCGGTCAGTGAGTTGTTGAGAAATTCAAGCTCCTGACTTAGAGTGTCTACTGTACAGATCTTTTTTGCTCTGCTCGTGAGACATCTGACCAAATTTCTCTTGTACGAATGGGTGTGAAACTGCAGAAGTGAGTATATTGGCATGAAGAGGGGTTTCTTCTATACACGCTTCTACTTAATGTGCCGTCACTTCGTCTGCTTAGTGTGACGTCAAGGAAGCTCAGCTTCTTATCATGCTCGCTTTCACCAGTGAAGGTGATCGCTGGGTGAACACTGTTGAATTGGTCTAGGAGTTCCTCTTACTAGTGTTTTGGTCTACGATAATGAATGTGTCGTCAATGTATCGGCAATATAAATCCAGTTTCTTAATAGTCTCATTGAGAGGTCCGTTTTCTAGCTTTGCTAGGAAGAGGTCAGCTAAAATCGGGCCTAGAGGCGAGCCCATGGCTATCCCGTCTATTTGTCTATAGTAAGTATTGTTGAAGACAAAATGTACATTCAGAGTGCATCTTAGGAGCAGTTCCCTTAGGCTATCGTTAGGCAGGCCAATGTTGATTTGTTTCTTTGATATTTGCTTGCATATAAAATCAATAGTCTCTATAAGTGGTACGTTGGTGAACAAAGATTCTACATCCAATGAGATCATATTTTTCATACTGACATTAATATTTTCTACTTTGGAGGTGAAGTTGAAGACATCTTTACACTATTTCTAACAACTGATTTGTGTAAAGGTTCTAGGATTCGTACTAGCCACTTTGCGATTTTGTGGTAAGGAGAATTGTACATATCTAGAACTGGGCGTAGAGGAAGACCCGATTTATGTACTTTAGGCAAACCATACAATCGTGGTGTAAATGATCCAGTCGGCTTAATTGAATCGTAAATCTCAGTCGTAATTATTCCTTTTTCGTTAGATCTTTAAGGAAATTGGCCAATTGTCTTTCTACTTTATTATTGATGTCACAATTACTAGTAATTTTCTGAAATTTGCTAGAATCGCTAAGCATTGTTTCCATTTTTCCCATGTAATCATTTTTGTTCATGAGAACTATACCTCCTCCTTTATCTGGTTTGGTTATGGTCAGGGTTTCATCTTTTCTTAGTTTCATTAAAGAGTCACGGTGCTGCTTGGTTAGTAGGTGATTTGTGGTACCCTTACTATTCTTGTATTGTTGGCAGCTATCAACTAGTGTGGTTTTAAACCGAGCAAGGTCCTCCAATGAGGTAGGAATCAAGTCAGTTGTTTGTGAAAATAAATTCTCAAATTGAACATCAGTATCTAATTGGTTGATTCTATGTCTACTATCACAGAATTTAGGTCCCAGAGATAAAGCTTCTAGCTGTACTACATCTAGTTCAATATTGGAAAAATTATGTACGTACCGTTTCGTGTCGAAGGGAAACTCCTTTTCTGGCTTTTGGTTTTCCAAAGTTTTCATTAATTTCGTCAACGTTTTCTCAGATCTGTTCTTGGAAATTTTTCCCACATAATCCATAAACATTGACTGAAGCTCTGAAGGAAGGTTTTTAACGGAATATTGTCTCTGGAGAAGATTCCTTTCGAAGTCGCAGATATTCATTTTCAAAGTATCAATTTGATTCGACGCATGTCTTTCAAGTGTTTTTGCATTAGGATAGATTCGGTTACGACGTAAAGACTTCCAATATATTTTAGGATATCTATTAGATTGTATACAATTAATAGCAAATTCTAAGCTCGTTTTCGCTTCTGTGAGACGTGCATTAAACTTCAGAAACTCATTGAGTGTCTTAAATGCAACAGGGTCCCCACGCGATTTTAGAATATTAAAGATTCCCATTGTGAAAATTAGAACAACACATATAAGCGAACAATTGTTTTCAATTAGATCGTCATCAGGCTTTACTCTAATATACATGAATATTTATACGAAAATGTTAAACCAATCAAGGTAATCGGGTCAATAATCACAATGAAATAGAATAAGTCTCTACACATAATAGGTAAAAGTACAAGTTGATAGTACGAAGACAGGTGAACAGATAGTGGTAAGAATAATAAACTACAATAACAAAACTCTTATCAATAGTTAATCGTTGGAAATAGAAGGTCAAATAAACATGGGTAAATAGACTAGGAATAGTAATCACAAAACATTAAAAATCATTACGTAATAAGATGTGTGTAAATAATTAGATGGTGAAGAATACAAAGAGGCGGATAATGACAAACAAATAATGGATGTGGAAATAAGGTTAACAATAACACAGATAGAATAAAATAAATAATGATAATAATAAAATTTAAAATTAAAAAAAAAATTGTTAGTTAAGTTATAACTGGCCATGGAAGGGATAGGGGAGTCACGTATTTCTTCTGTACACATAGATTGGGGTTATATGTACGAATCCCAATGGCTTCAGCTATATATAGGAGACGGGAACGGACTCCGTCGGGAAATGATGGAGGTATACGATAGATCACTCGGAATGATTTCGATTTATCTACTGCATGACCGCTATCAATAAGATGTGCTAGTATAGAACTGCGAATAGTTTTTCTCTGACTCTTTATGTACCAAGTTGGTAGATGTTCACTCATTCGTTGGTTAAGTTGCCTGGTAGTACGCCCTATATAGCTATCTCCACAGGAGCAGCTGAATTTGTAAATGCACATGGAAGAGGCCAACTCAGCTAACAACTTTTTTTTAATTTTAAATTTTATTATTATCATTATTTATTTTATTCTATCTGTGTTATTGTCCTTATTTCCACATCCATTATTTGTTTGTCATTATCCGCCTCTTTGTATTCTTCACCATCTAATTATTTACACACATCTTATTACGTAATGATTTTTAATGTTTTGTGATTACTATTCCTAGTCTATTTACCCATGTTTATTTGACCTTCTATTTCCAACGATTAACTATTGATAAGAGTTTTGTTATTGTAGTTTATTATTCTTACCACTATCTGTTCACCTGTCTTCGTACTATCAACTTGTACTTTTACCTATTTTATGTGTAGAGACTTATTCTATTTCATTGTGATTATTGACCCCGATTACCTTGATTGGTTTAACATTTTCGTATAAATATTCATGTATATTAGAGTAAAGCCTGATGACGATCTAATTGAAAACATTTGTTCGCTTATATGTGATTTAAAAACATCAGAAACGTGAAAACTTTAAACGTATAGGTAACATACGGCAGTCAGTACATGATTAGTTTCTATTGTTGCGAGAAGTAGTAAACAACGAAAAGATAGCAACTAAGTGAAATAATACAAATGCATGCATCCAAATACTGAATGAACTAAATAAGAATGGATTTCCAACTACTAATAAATAAGAGGATGATTCTTACTAAAAAAAGAGAACAACATGAATCAATTCACATTTTTCAACAGTATCGACGTCACTCAACGAGAAACCAGAATACAGGATAGAATGAACCACTGTTTCGCTACACATTGGGTACATAAGTGTATGAGTTTCCTGACAGTCAAATCAAGAGAAATTATCCAAACTTGACAGAAATCACTATGAATTCGTGTTGTCAAAGTTCCCAAATGAAAAAAACAATACAAAAGTCAGCAAGACTTACTTTCCACAACCAATGATGCTTAATTTGAGTAAAATGTGATTCACGATAATGCTGAAATGTGTCTGGCCAACGAGCATTTAAACATTCTATATTCATAGCTCTGAAAAAAAGTATAAATGACAAAATTACGCATATATATATATATATATATATATATATATATATATATATATATATATATATATATATATATATATACCAGATGTTAAAAATATTGTCCACAAAGACAATGAAAGCTCTGAATAAGGTCAGTCAGCTTAGATAATGCAACAGCATTGAAAATATCCACCTAAACTACCATGTTTTCGACACTATTCGAGGTGCTTCCGCTTACATGATTACAGCTAATCTAATAAATCCAATCCTGTTTTAATTCAGTAAGAGAGAATAACACGAACCTTCACCTTTCTGTTGCTGCCATAATGAAAAATACATTGAATCTGTTCCACATGAGAACAAAGCGACTACTCAGTTCTCCCTAGTTTTGACCGTTTCTAGTTGAATTCAGAGCATGACATAAACTAAATATTAGTTTACTTTACAAGGCTCGTATGCACAGTTTCTTTCATCATCTTGAAAAGCATAAGAACAATGACTTAAGAAGAGTAACTGTAGTATTTGTACAAATTAATGATTCCTATGTACTTGATTGCGCGCTTATTACGAATTCGAAATATAATACGTTCGTTTGTGTTAATCTAGTTCCGCTCGTTTAAAATGGACTATTTAGGGTATTCTTAGTTAGCATGTTAATTCGAATACATCTAACTATCATAGTAACATTAATTTAGTTTATTCTGTTCGGTTCTTGTCACCCTTTAACAATCTAGTTTTTTTTAATTTAAAACTATGTACAGAAGTTAACATACGCATACTAGTGAAGTTGATTGGAAGTGAATATGCAACATCATGGTGGAGTAAAGATTTAAATACAGTTCGTAAGATTAAGAATAACTTAAATAAAAGAAATATTCGAGTATTGAAACGGTAACTAAATATTACACAGATCAAATGTTAGTTGATTAAGTAATCATGTAGCTGAACACATTTCAATGGAAATAAAAAAAACGTGAGTTGAGATAAGCCAGTCAATAGTCAAGTTACAAATTCGAAAGAATCGAGAATGATGCAGTTGAAATAAGATAAGTGTTTGAGAAAAGGTTTTTTGTACGGCCTTAGTAAATAACATTCTTCCCTGAACAGTCTTTATTTCGTCTAATCACGTTATTGGTTTCTTTCTTTGGTCAGTAACTGTATTTGAATATTCAATACACTATGATATTACATATTCACTTCTAATCAACTTTACTTGTATAAGTATGTTAACTTTTACGTTCAATTTTAACTTTAAAATATTATAGGTTGTAAGTAGCTGACAAGAGTATAACACAATCAAATTAATTAGTCATAGTGCCCAGACCGTTATTTCTGCTCTATAAACATCCACTATGAAAAGAACACAGATATAAAGGCGAATAAAACATTTGTTGAGTTATCGAGTTACTTCTCATGAAAAACTTAAGTAGTGGCAGTTTGGAAGTTACAGAGCATTTCCGTTTAAAGTCAGCCGGTATCACTAGGACGCATAAAAATGGTGTGTGTGTGTGTGTGTTGCTTAAAGCCGATTACATCAATCTGCATTTCGTAAATGACTGATTAAGAAAAACATTCGGTGTTCCGGGAGACCTTGAACGCTATTATTATCGTTATTGACTAGATAAAAAGAACAAGGATAGTTCTGTTCTCAGTGACTTCATCTGCAGGGCTTTACAATGGTCAAAATCATGGATAATTGGAAGGATAAAATCTAAAGTATAAACGAATTGACTTACTCAGTGGGTTTTATTCTACTATTACAATCTCTTGGATCAGTACCAGGAAAGGTGTTTGGAAATAGTTGCATTGAATGGGGATAAAAAATTTGAACAGTACGAGTGAAGCGAATAGATCCGATAAGATTGTTCAATTCATCAGAATAGAAATCATGAGAAAAAATAATGAGGGCTGTTTCGATTCCTTTTGTACGTCGTAACGATTCAATTAACAGACTTAACTCTATAGATCTATTATGAACCTGAACAGAAAACATCAGATAATTAGAAGCCACACTGATTTGATTGAATGATGATGGAAGCATTGGTTGGATGACAATAAGCCAAATATAATCATTTTTTATCAATTCTAATCACAGTCTATGAAAACAGGACTTGAAAAGAGTAAGTTTAGTTAATGGATATTCTAAAATATTTGAAAGTTAGCTTGACAATAGCTATTTCAATTTCAGCATTGGTACAAGTTTACCGAACAAAGATAAAATTATGTATGACCGAGAGAGTAAACTGAGCTTCCAAATGGAATAAATAACATAAGTAACGCAATAACATATGATCGATTGCTGATGTTGAAATGAAATGAGCTTGATTTAAGTCCTTTCAGTATTAAAGTCTCGTGGAAATTATTTGAAACTTTAAAGTACCGTTTATTGAACGATGCTTTCTGAAAAATGTTATCCAGCATACCTGTAAATCAATGATATAAATCTCGTACAGGGTTGAAGAAGCAAGGTTACTTCATAAAGTGATGTGACAACTAAACCTAAAAAATAAACTGAGGACAAACTAAAAACAGTGCTGCGCTTGCTAAGAAACAACTGACCTCGGTGTCTGCAAACATAACTAGTCTACTGTTAATTTAAGAAGAAATAAATCCACAGTACTCCTCTTTAGTAAGATAAGTCGGTCTTAACCAGTTTAAAAAACAGCATTTATGATTGACTATGCCTATGAACTTATCTGAACTCAGAATCCTTGTTTCTTTCAACAGAAAAATGCCAATTAATAAGACATTCGTACCTAGATTATACTGACATGAATTACGAGTAATTATATCATCGTCACATAAATGTCGGAATATGACGATCAAACCATCTGAATTTTTAAAACATTTATTCAATCATTGTTTTTTATTTAAATACTATCTCCTTTAATGCAACTAGCTTATTGAATAGAAATTGGTGTGGGGGCCTACAAACACACTGTTTGTGGGTGTGATGGCTAGTAATAATACCACTCGGTTATTCGTTTAAATTTCTATAACTTATTTATTGTGAAAGCCCAGCAAAGAAACACTGCATCTCTGTTACATAAGCAACTGGTGGTTGTTTGAACAGCCGAATGCTGAAATCTCTACTACAGACTAATATATATATATGGTAGTGTTTAGCAACTGTTAAGCATGATCTCATCATACATATAACAAGTCATCTGACCACTATGAGCAAGCGTTTTCTAATTAAAAACCACTATATTTAAACTGTCTTCATGTTGTGCTCACGAAACTGAACGGTCTAATCATGGAGCTTTTATTGCCTTTTCAAACAACACCAACAATACATAACTTAAAAATGAGTTTATTATTTATTTATTTATTTGAACACATATTAGTATAAAGGGGCATCAAATACATACGCGCAACACAAAAACAATGAGAATGTGAAGAGATAGATAATGTAGGGTGCTTATAAGAAAAAGTGGACCCCCCGTGTTCACCAACCCGGTTAAAGCGCCGAACATTCGCTTTTTGTCCTCTCAATTTCGTAAACAACACCCCCGCCACGAGAACGAAAGTGAATAGGACTTCTCTGGTAATGGCTGTATATGCGTAGCCATGAGAGAGCATTTCGAGAGAGTGGACTCTCCCCACCCTCGGCCGTACCAGGGCACTATTTATAATTAATCGACAGCTCGTTTAGCGAACAAGAAATTTGATTAGATGCCTTCCATAATTGTGCTATCATTAATCACACATTTATTATGACTGTCTTCTCTCATGGTTAGAACTCTGTCTTTTCAGCTGACTGTTTTTTTTTGTATTAAGCAGCAAGGTCAACAAAACCGTTCAGCTCAGAGGACGTAAGACCCACAAAATAATGCTTGGTTTGCAAACCATTGCTATCAAATCAAACTACAAATTAAATTTTAAGGTGAGAAACATATCAATCTCGGTTTTTTTTACTTGAGAGTATCATTATGGAAACATTGATTCGATTGCATTTGTTAGGTATGAAATAAAAAACTTTTATTAAATATAAATCACTTATTAGCCTACTTGTATTATCATAACATGTTTAGGAGAGGATCTTGTAGAGTTGAAATTATCTCTTGTTGGTAGTTGACCATACAGGTCTTCGTTTTTTACGTATTGCACCTTATTAATATTTGAAATATATTGTCGTAGATTTGGAATTGAACTGAGTGGTAATAAATGAGACAACGGACCTGAAGTTTCTAATGATTTGTTTATGACAAAACGTATATTTTTAGGATACTGCAAATGAACTGGTTTTAGCCATAAAGAATCCTGCAAAAGATTAAAATTAAATGAGTCTGTACATATAAGGAAGCATTAAATGGGCTGAAAGCAAACACACCAATGACTAAACATTACTACACAGCCAGACATTCTCAAAGTACGAAGGAAGCTTGGCAGTTTTAGGTAATGGTCATTTCGCACAATATTTCAACTATAATAAGAAAATGAAAAACCAATATTAATTATTCAAACAACTAAGTACGCTAAGTAAATCCATAATGATTTTGTGACAGTTTAAATCAGCATTAAAAATCGCAGAAACGTGTGGATGGGAGTATTGTAACACATGACTATTTTTCAGAAAAACGGTATTATTTTAGCCAAAATAATCTGTTTGACCAACATAGTATATATCAAGTATGCCCGACTACCGCCTACGTCGATGAGCAATGTATTCTGGTGCAGGAGCGGACTGGAGAAGAGCTAGGGGAGGTCAAACCAAAATGTAGCATCAGTCCATGAGGTCGATGACAATTGAACACAGTCATGTTAATAGGTATAGGTTACCTGATTGGGGCCCACGTGATTATCGCAACCAATAGTTAGAGACTTTGGATGACATGGCTCAAAACTGTTTGCAATGGCGCATATGCACTTATTGTTTATCTTCCCCCAAAATCTGAGATTTTAAATTTCTCATACCATTTTCTGTTTTTGATTCACTAATTTATATTTTATCCTCAAATCATATCTTCGATGCTTAATCATTCTTCTTATACTTTCAATAACTTATTCATTGATTTGGTCTGACATATTTGTGCTAGTGTGGCATGGCGACTTGAACCGATGTACAGGTTCTACGTTGAGAATGAATGATTTGTATTGTTTGAGGAGTTATGTTTCAGCTATGTATCTAGTTTACTATTCACCACACTAAAATGGTTGAAAATAAAGACATTGAAACGAACTTTAACAGTTCTTACCTTAGCTTACAGCCGTTAATAAACAGATATATACAACAAGCAGCATACTAACCGTATTCTATGTTACCTAAGGCAATTACATTCAACAGTTAAGATATCGATCAGCAGCCCAAATTGTAGCACATAGACTAAAGTTTAAGCACAACTGCAGCGCCAGAATTTTGAGGTAACTCAAAAATTACAAATACATCCTAGGTACTTCGTCGAGAAGTCTTACCAAAATGACTTCACTTATACAACGGAAAACTTAACAATAAGTCAAGAAAATCAAAATGACTGTGACAAATTATACAGGCTAGGTTGTCAAATAACGAAAAATATCCACGAAAACATGAAGTAGGACATACAGCTGGCGATAAAATTACGTCTTTCCAAAGCCAAAAAACGTTAGAATGCTCATATTCTGAAAATTCTGAATATCTCCAAAATTTGCTGAGTATTAACACCAACAACAATACTACTAGGAGGACTGAGAGAAAGAACAAAATCTGGCGGCACATGGGGCGTGTTATTGGCAAGAAGAAGGATGTAGTAGGGAAGCATCTGAAAAGAATGAAACTAATTATTATGAATTTTCGATAAATTTCCCTGTCAATGAGTGGCAAATATGAAAGCGGTTAACCTACCTGACTTTGATGCGCATTGTTTGTACGTTAGTTGTTCATTTGAAAGGATTTGTACAGCAATGCTAAAAGACAAACATGCTGACAGTAAATTTACAGATACAAAAAGGTGAATGTAAGTGGTTCAAAATCTAAATACCCACCGCTGACGTACACTTACAAGTCCTAGGCTGCCAGTATTTTTTAATTTGATATTTGTATCCAATGTAACAGTAGACATGGTCACAATAAATAGCTATCCAAAAATGTTTATTCGCCACAATGAATTCCGAATCCACGTATCATACATATACTCCTTAAAGCCTAGTACATCAAATAGGTTATTTATCGTATTCTCCTAACGGGCAGAGTGAGTAACGTTCCACTTGACCAAAAAGATTAGAAACAGCTCTCCCCGTAGCATCATAAATACCAAAGCAAATAATAAGTGCTTTATCTACTATCATGTATTACATTGTCCAAAAAGGCTAGCAATATTTGTATTTCAAATATACTGAACATAAACTACAAAGATATGGTTACGATTTCGAGATTTGCGACATGTTTTAGCAATATACTTGACCATGCTAAAAAATCATACGAACAAATCAAGTTACTCTCTCACCATGAAACTAGACCTATATTGATATAAACTATAGGCAGGGACTAACATTTTTCTTTCATTTTGTTCTTATGGATATAAAAGGTTAACAAATGGTAGTCATATAAGTTAAAGAGTGCTCGCACGATATCACCTACTCATGGACATTGAATTTGAGTGCTTATAACACCACTCATTTCACAAATGTGTTTCACCATCAAAGTAATCACTGCAAATCAGCCTCAACCTTTAATATTCAGGTGAGAAATTTAAGTGACTAAATTTTTCGGTACAATCAACGGTACATTAAAAAAAATAAAATCTGCATAAAAGCCGCAAGCGTAGGCTTTTGTCCTATGCAATGAACTACAGACCAAAATAGTTTTGTCCATATTGTAATTTCCTAATTCAGTCGATATTTATTCAGGGTTTCGCTTTGTATCTGTCTGAAACAGAACAGTACACTTTATGTGTAAGAAAGTGTTCAAAGTCTCTACTGTCTCACGAAAGTGTGCCACAAGGAGCTGTTCTTTCACCTCTTCTTTTCTCTTTTCCTGCATGATCTGCTATCTTCTACATAAAGCACTTTTGGGAAATATGCGGACGGTCTCACTCTATGTATTCTGATTTCTACCTCTTTACATCATGTAGCGGTAAATAAATAGCTCTGTAAGTCTTCAAGATTGGATGCTGACCATATTAGTCTTGACGGACCTGTAGTGGCATTGGACCATAACCACACAATCTTCAAAGCTGAACACAAGACTACTCGGAAAATAGATATTCAATAGTTAACACGGAGAAATACCTAACGATGGAGAAGGCGGGAAGAATGTATTGAACGAATTGGAGTTGATCGAATGGCATGTCTCGGCCATGCAGGCGTGGTCCCTGATGAATGTTACCTCATATCTTTTACTCATATTAGATATATTGTTCTATCTCTAGCCTTAGCTTTTTCTCCATCATGTATTGGTAGTTGGTACGATACAGTGAGTTGGTGTAGACGATAATGTGACTTCCACGTAAGGTCTTATGGATTTGGCAGTTATATCATGATAAATCTACAATTTTAGGATTAGGTCTATTATTAGGGCGGTACTTATATCATAGTAGACCATAGTTCTACAGAGTCACCTACCTGGTGGCTCTCGGTCATGCATCAGCACAGATCACGAGTGGGAAAGCCGTACTCAACATCCCATGCAATCGCTAGCTGGATTAGATCAATCGATCCACGATATATTGATAGCCTATCAAATATATCTTCGAACATCCTCACTTCTGTCTTTTGATTTCACTTGATGACCACGCTTCATATTAGAAGTTGCTGTTGGTTAAAGCGTTGTCAAACTCCGAATACCTTTGACATCTTCAATTCCATAGAAATAAGTGGTTTTTTGTCTCGTATTGAATGGTGGTTTGTTATTAATGGTCTCATACTTAATCCATCTGTGTCAAACTGTTATCTTTAGCCTGGGACATAAACATCACCCAAACAACATGTTGGGAACCCATAATGCTTGTGCCATTGGATACACTTTGATATAAGTCTGACTGAGCGCATGTCTGCACATAAATCTTTATCCTATTCTCCCGATGTTGAAACACGCAGACGATCGATAATTTATCCACAACCAATTAATATATATATGGGTTTTTAACACTCACACACACATTCGTTTCCCTGTAAGCTTGCTATCTGCACGCATATGGATTTTACTCATCTTTAACAATAAACTATCTCTATAACTGGTGTTTTAATAATCGCGAGTAAATCCATAATTTTAATAAAAGATTTAACCTGTGTTAAATACTCAGTTATCGGGATAATATTTATTGGAGTCAGATATAAGGGAAATTAACCTCTTCGCATCATTCTCTTCTGGACTTTTGAGAAAAGACTTTGTTGCCCAGAGTGCTGAAGGCAGTTTGCAGGGTGTGAGGAATGTTTTGAGATCATCATTAGTATCGTTGTGGATAGATATCTAAAGTCTTGCAAACTCCTGGCAAGTGTTATCTGACCGTCCACTTCATCCATATCTCTCTCCTAAAACATCTTGTGGTAGAATGAGACATCAATAGGTAGTGGCATTGAACCCTAGCCACACGATCTTCGAAACCAAGCAATTACCGAAAAGACTTATATTCAATAACTGACAGGAAGAAATGGATAACTATTAAAGCGGTAATATCAATTTAATTAATTGAATGTCATGGCTTAAACATGCAGGCGTGGTCATCCTTGTGTAACTTATCTCTATTCATAATAAACATATTGTTCTATCCCCTGATTTAATGTGTTCTCTATCACGTATTGGTGATGATCCCGGTAAGCACAACGCAGTGTAAACAATGATGTGACTTTCATGAAAGATCTTGCAGACTAGGTATGTTAAATCATGACAAATTTACAATATTAAGATTAGTTCTATTAAGTGCAAAAGAGAAGTAGAAAATATTACCACAAATACGTTAAAAGAACTATAACAAAATCTCCGTCATTTCCAATCCAGAAAGTACACCAATTGACGATCAGGTTGACGTGGTTCATCAAGTAAATAAAAAATATAAATTAAAAGGTCGCTAATTAAAATGCTAACAAATTTGGAGTTTTCATCAATCTATGGGCCTTAACTTTTGTAAAAAATAAATGCATGCAGTGATCCCCGTAAGTGGTTTGATGAAACACGACTAATACGTGGTGTGGATTGCACACCGAAGTTGTTGGATAATATCTCGTCGAGAAAAGACTAGAACGAATTTTATGAGAGTATTGAAAAATAGTTACATACGAAAAGCCGCTTCCAGAAATTTTATGTTAGTCTACCTCACTTGACAGTCATTGATTTAATAGTCTCATGTGAAATAAACCTGAATGGCTACCCATCTACATTTGTTGGCAGACTGAACAAATTGTGTCCTAACATATTGAGATGTGGAGTCGGAACATTCATAACCTTTTGTCAGGACGTTTCAGTGTGCTTTGTATGAACTGTGTAGATATGCCATCGATGCAACTCGGTAACACACGTTGTTACAAATAACCTTATTTGTCATTAAGCCTCACTTCAACTAAAGAGGCTTTAATATCCAACATCACTATCACAAGCTCTTAAACACCGATTGATATCCCTGATCACAGTCTTTGTTATTTAGGTACAGTTCCAGGTCTATGGTGGGCAGTAGTCTAGCCACTCGACTGCACTAGTTCTAGTCAGTGTGATATTCATTCGTCGATTTGTATGTGTCGTAATCTGGGTGAGCACGTTTGTCTCAGGGTAGTAGGGATCCTGGATGCCAACAGCTATCACATTACCAGGCAGAAGGTTGATTGGATGGAACTAGAAAATAATAAAGTGGTAATTCCATTACTAAGAGAAGACAAATGTTTCAAGAAATAAGTTAATAAATAACTCAAATAATTAGTAATGCAGACAGTGTGAGTAGACTGAAGCGAGAGAATTACAGGGAAAACGGAGATGGTGTTAGGTGAAATAGGAAGTAGTTACTGATATGGGCTAATCATAACAGTGTGTAAGTGTGGTGTTTGAATTAACTAATGATACTTTTGTACTTGTTGCATGCTTGATTTTAAATTTTAAATACAGTACATTCGTTTGTGTTTATCTAGTAGTTCTTGATCCGATTATGTTATTTCTGGGATTCGTAGTTCATACTATAATTAAAATACTCCTGATTATCATATTTGCGTCGCGATGGAGCCTGTGATGGAGCGGTTGGACATACATTCAGATCTTGATGCTTTTGAGGATTACTTTGAAAGATTCGAAATTTGGGCTATGACCAAGGAAGATGCTGAGGATGTTAATATTGTGGCACACTTCCTCACATTCATCGGAAAAGAAGCACACAGCTTATTACCTTATTACCTTACCGATCTTTGATGTGTAATTTTACGGGGTAGCCTTGAGGAGAGTGGAGATGACGTTATGTCTAAATGTTTTTATCTGGTTGACATCAGAATAATTCTGCTACCTTAGTACTTTGTTAGTGAGTGGCATTTCAGCTTTCATTTTGAGGTTACAGTATATCTGTAGAATTATGTTCTACTTCTTTAAACCTGGGCTAATTTTGATTTCGTTACTTATTCTTTGCAGAATTAGCTCACACTGAGTCACGAAATGTCAGAAAATTTGAGTTTAATACTCATTCGGATATTACAAATGTACAAATTTATTTATGGTCTACTTTGGTATGAGCACTACCATAATAATGGATTTAGTCCTTAAATTGTAGATTTGTCGTGATGTGACATGCCTAATTTATAAGATCTTACGTAGAGGTCACATCATTGTCTATTCCGACTCGTCGTATCATAACAATCAGCAATATAATGTTTGGCATTTTTAAAGAACACATTTAGACTGGAGGTAGAACATTATATTTAATATGGATGAGAGAGGCAAGTTATACATA